CGTTGGGTTCCTGCAGATGGCCGACTGGGCCCTCAAGAAACACCGCGGATACCTCAAGACGTACGGCGATGAGTACAAGAAGCTGCGTCGCAAATCTATCATCCCTTTTATTCTGTAAGGCGATGGGTCGTTTAGTCGCACTTTTGGCGTTTTCTATCATCAAGTGCCGTTGGATGGCATTCAACGAAAAAAAACCATTAAAAACTTGATTGGTTTTTTTTATTTTCGGATATTATGTTATTGACTGCTAATTTCTGTTACCACAGCTTAACAAATAGTTGCTGTTGTATCTACCACGTCCATCTTCATCCAAGTTACATGGCATTTCTAGCCATCAACATCTCCTTTAACTCTTTGGGCAAGTCGTCCCAAAAATCTTTGAAACGCACGTATTCTTGGTAGCCAGGATCACGCATCCGCCATCTCTCGGGCATCTTGAGCTTCGCTTCGATGTTATTCTTCACGTACATGACGCTCGGAGTCATTCCGTTCTCAGCTAAATTTATGAAATGGGCCTTGGCGTTTGCCATCAACTGCGCCAGCACCTCCTCTACGTTGACATTCTTCGGTGCTTGAGCTAGCTTTTCCAGTTCAGCAGCACTTTTGCCAGCTAATCCTGCCAGCCATTTTTCTGCTGCCGGGCTCAGGTTCAAATTCATGCGCTCCTCATCATCCGATTCCTCTTCAGTTTGCGTACCCTCATATCTGCTTGCTCTCAGAAATCTGCCCGTCATGTTGCTATCGTGCGCGTTGTTGATAGACTGGGTAGGCCTCGTGGCAAGCGTGGACTGATTCGCAGCTCCGACTACTTTGGAGCTCGACAACACGGTTGCAGCGACTAGTAAAAGGCTAGAAACTTGCATTGAGAATGCCTACTTCTACTACTGTACTGAAGTACTTACCAACTCGAGTGGAGTGTGTGGAGCGACGGAGGATACAGAATGAGTCGGGCACTGCACAGAGCTTTGTTAGTGGTACGTTTACATACAGTACGAACAGAAAGCCGGAGGACAGAAGCCTTGACCTTGTGTACATGTACTGTCGCTGCTAGTACAGACGAGGACACTTTAATATGACGGACACTAATGAATGACACGGGTTTTTTGTCAATAATTTCAGCCAATAGAATGTCAAAAACAATTTTGTGGCCATGAGCTCACTTCGAATCGTGCCATGGAAGAGCTCGAGCTGCGAATGCTCCAGTGGGGCATCCGCGATGGTGCCGGAGCTGCCGACGACGAGGATGACGCTGCTGAAAGCGACAGTAGCGGTGGCGGTGAGGTGATCTATCAGCTGAATCTACCATCAAAAGGTCGTCGTAGCACGTATTCAAAAGAACTAAAGCTTCGAGTCGTTGAGGAAGTTAGAGCAGGCGGCAAAGTCGCTGCTGTAGCTGCTTCCAATGACGTGCACACTCGCACAGCGTTCGGATCGAGCGAGTGTGCTGCTCACCGTTTCCGCGGCAGGAAAAAAGCTAAAGCCGCTAGTCATTTTCCGCGGCCAGCCAGGCGGCACAATTGAGCGTGATATGAGGGCATACTCGAACCAAGTACTTGTAACCGTCCAACAAAATGGCTGGATGGATACAAGGGTTTGGAACGAAACGTTTATCAACGGTCAGTGGGCAGAATTTGTTTGTGACGAATTCCCAGACCCTCTAGCCATCTACGTCGACAATCTGAAGTGCCATGTGTCCGATATTGCGCAGGAAGCATTCGCGTCGTGGGGGACAGAGCTTGTACCTCTACCAGAAAACACTACTGCTGTACTACAACCTCTGGACGTGGGCATCATGGGCCCGTTCAAGAAGAAGCTACGCTCGCTGACGCTATCCTACAACTTAGCCTCCATCCAGAGGAATGGGTTTCTGCCTCTGCGGGAGAGGCTGCTGGCGCTCAAGCGCATATCTGCAGATGAGAAGAGAAAGCTGCTTGTAGACAGGGTAGTGACAGCGTGGGCGGCCATCAACGAGCGCTGCATCAAGCGGGCTTGGGAGAAAGCTGGACTGTAATACATCTTTACAGTTGATTGGATAAAAATATTAGGATTTGAAAGCATAGTTAACGAAAAACCTAAAGTGTCATATTAAAGTGTCCTCGTCTGTACAATAGTGCGCTCTACAGCATAATATATTATATGATAATCAAAACTCTCTCTGAAGTGGATCAACCGTCCAAATTTGATAGTTGTCGTTCACAAAAAACAATAAAGCTGGATGAATGAGTATGTTATGCATTACGAGTTGTCCAATAATGACGGTATAATCCTGGGTATGCCTGTATAATTAACCCCGGACTTGGTCAACGGACCCACGAACCCTCATGGAAAGTGTCCCCAGTGAAGCCCGATGTATCGATCCAGAGCGAGATAGCGAGGAGACCAAGGAGCGAGTCATGGTAAAAGAACCATCGGATCTTTGAATAAGACGACGTCCCATAAATACCGGTTGGAGGCCTAGCTAGAAAAAAAAACTACAAATCATTCCATCATCATCATCACTTTTTAAAATGACGGTATAAATTAGATTTTGTGGTTTGGAAAGCACCCCAGCACCCTTTCATAATATCAAACCTCACAGAATAAATGCTGTGGCACAATTCCGAACTGCAGTTGTCTTACGTTAGAACACCCGAGTTTTCGTGAAACTGCTATTTTTTTTTGTTAGTATTTGGTTGCAGCAAAAATCCCCATGGGTCAAAAATCAACCGGGGCAGGCATCACTCACGGGAGATGTGAGCGAATTCATGCCTCTCCCAATGCACCAAATGAGCAGATACATTGATATATCAAGTAGTTTTCGCTCAGCTTAATTCTTCCAGGTATTGTTCTGAAGCAGCGCACAATATAGTTCGTTGTCAATAAGCAAGGCGATGTGCTCTTGAAAGAGTTCTGCGTCTTCTTCTACGGTTATTTATTCGATCACTTCACATGCGAAGTAAAGTACAGTGGGTTCACCATCGTCAGAGCACCTTTCACAAAGAATTCCGAGCTGGATGACATCGCTGTGTTTCAAAATGGAAAGCAGATTCCTCAAACCGGAGCTACTTTCAGATTCTTTGTGGTTGGAGAAACTAGCAAAAACAAAAGAACCAGGAATCATCGATCTATACGATGGCCCTTCGTCCAGAGTTCAAAAACTACACAGGATGGTGTGCTTCACAAGTCCAAATGAAGAATGATTTGACGTGGTTAAGAAGAATTCATCCCTGGTGTTGGGCGGGTGGAGACGAATCAGTTGAAGGCAATTGACGTGAACACTGTAAAGGATTTACGCACAGCCGTCGATGGACCAAGTGCACAACAGCGGAGCTTCTTCAGTGCTGGAGCACTGAATCAGTACTCAACGATCCTCAAGGGAATTGATGAGCACCAGAAGTCTGTGGAAACGATGCTGGCGACGATTCCTCAGTATGGAAGATGTAGGAGTCACAGATGGAGATTACGTGGTATTTTGCAACTCGCATTTCATTTTTAATTGGTCATTGCTTTAGTTTAAAAATCCACGTCAAACATCTGATTCAAGAACATTTACTGGAAAACAAGGAGCAACGAAAGGAAATGCATTTTCTTATAATTCAAGAGTGGCGAAGACACGTTAAGGAATGTGCGAATGTGCACTGGCAGGCGGACAAATGCATCAATGCATTCGCGGCTCGAATGTCGGACTCTATCCAATCAACTTCTTAAAGTTTACAATCGTCTTTACACCAGCACTGTCGTTGAACTGCAGCATATACATGTAAGTTAGAAGTGCCTCTGCTAAAAGATGACGACACAAAATTGGGTTGTGGTAAGCATGAAAACGCGCGTTTGCATTCATAATGTGCTCTCTTTCAATCTACAGATAGGTAGGGTCCACCCACCACTCGGACTCATAATCCTCACCCAGAATCTCCGTGATGTCCACCGCCTTCTTGAGCTCCAGACTGAACTCCACTCTCTCATCCATCGCAGCACCAGTGCCGGTGTTATTAAACTCCCTGAAGTGGACGTCGTTCGTGTCGGATGTGGCATCCCACGCAGACCAGCCCTGAGGATTGATGACGTCGCTCAGCTCGCTGTTCTGCCACACAACACGAGCGAACGGACGCCACGGACGACCGAGACAGGAAGAGCCTTTGGGATTAGACCCGTACACTCGAGCGTCGTCGAACACATAGTAGGACGGGTTGTCTTCACCGTTACGGCCGTTCGCAGTGATGCATCCTTTGCCAATAGTCTCGATGTCACAGCTCTGGAACCAGGCCACTGCCTTGGAGCCAAAGACGAAGTCAACAGCTCCACTGATGTACGACTGTGCGTACAGTTGGCGTCCTTTGTTAGCGTACAACGTGTCCTGGTATCCAGTGAAGTTACAGCCGTAGAATCCATAGTCCGTACCATCAACCGTGGCCGCCACAGCTTGACCAACGTTGCCAGCAGTATTGGCGATGTTGAGGTTGTACACGGTCACGTTACTGGCTTTGAATCGCATGGTACTAGTGAGATCATTGCGGCCTTTAGTCAACTCACGCGGGAGGTCCTTCTGCGCTTTGGCATGAGTAATAGTGACCTCGTTGTCTTCGTATGACCTCGCATCACACGTCGAGCCCTGCAGTACCAAAGCACCCGCTAACCTCGGGATAAGTACCTGTTCCTCGTAGATTCCCGGCATGACGAAAATGGTCTGAACGTCCGTAGAGGTGACGTCCAAGCTCTCGACTCCCTTTGACAAGGTCACATAGCTACCGTCATAGTCACCGCTTGCATCAACGACGATGGCTCCTTTGGGAGGCTCGACACGTGCATTGGAACCGCTGCACTTGGCTTCCACCTCGATTTCATCGATGACTTCGGCAGAAGAGCGCAGTGTGATAGCTGCAAGAGCCAAGAAGGGAAGAAAGAGCTTCATATTGCACAATGGACTTGAGTGACGAGAAGAAAAACACAAAGTGATGCCACGCATTTGTTCGTCTAGGATGCATTTTACAGATGAACGCAGCATTACTATGCTGTGTGGACGGGACAAAACTGTACTTTTACTCTTGGGATCTGAGGGTGGACACATTCTTTCATACAAGAACGAGTATAGAGCCAAAGTGAGGATAATTTTTTATCCTTGCATAGACCGAGGAGACGTGCCATCGACATTCGCTGCAAACAGATAGATTCTTGTTGAAGAGATGCAAAGATGTAGCCACTTATTTTTGAGTCACGCGTGCGTTATAAACTGCATTGACATTGGACACAATGCGGCCTCACTAAAACCGCGCCAGTGAGTCATGAGCCCAGCCCATGACGGCGAGACTTCCAACTCCTCTCTCATTTCTCGTTTGTGGCTTACCATTCTGTGCTTTTGCGTCATCCGGCACTAGGAAAGTGAGCCACAAACTCCAGCATTCTTCCTAATTGTGTTTTTTTAATTATTAATAAAGTTTAACTAGCATTAAAATTAGGTTATAAAGGTATTGGGTGGATAATTTTGGGTGAAAAAAGAGCACGTAATGAATCACTCTCCATTTATCCCATGCCAAGATACGCGACTCTTCATGCGCGATCCAAGATCCATTGAGCGGCGACTCACCGCTCGTTGGCGCCGCGTATCATGCAAATGGGTCACTTCACAATCTCCTTGATAGCCATCAAGCATTCTCTCACACTTGTGCTCGAAAATGGCGCGTTTCAAGGTCAATTCAATGTTCCTGTTGACTGCCTTCCTGTGTTTCCTGCTCTCCGCTACCGACGGCCAACAAGTGGGTACCAACTGCTCCGACCCCCGCGTTCGTCGCTCTTGGGATATGTACAATACTACGGAGAAGAGTTTGTACCTGGAAGCCGTTGGTGTCGCCATGGACAAGGGATTCCACCAAAAGTTCGTCCAAATCCACACCGAGTATATGTCCGAGAAAGAGGCCCACAGCAACTGCATGTTCATCTACTGGCACCGCATGATGCTGCTGGGATACGAGAACATGCTTCGCAGTCTGGACTCAAAGTACCAGTGTGTTACGCTTCCGTACTGGGATCATGTATCGGCTAGAGCCCGGCGTTCAACTGGAAACTGCACCAGTCTCCTAAGTTGCTCACCATTCCTCGCTGATTCAAGCGGCGATATGACGGGGGTCAGCAAGAGTCTGATTATCTACAATGTCAGCATCCCGACTTCTTCATCCACTACCTGTATGAGTCGATTCCCACTCTCCCAGTTTTGCGGTAATAATACGGGTTGCGCAAAGTGTATCACCCGAAAAACAAGGAGCGCAATGTCCAGTACTGCGTATCCAGATTCGGCCTCATTCACTTCGGTGTATCAGCAGTTATTCTCCTCCAACGACTCCTACACATTCACCTCTCAAGTCGAGCGCGGCGTGCACAGTAAGTAATTTATTTTCGTGGAAATATTGTTGTATTCTCACTAATGTGTGTGTGTTTTCTAGACACTATTCACAGTGCTCTTGGTGGTGTGATGGCGTATTTCCAGTCTCCTGCTGACCCGATCTTCTATCTTCATCACGCATTGGTGGACCTACTGCAAGTAATTTATTTCAAGTGTCAAGTTGGAGGTGAAAATATTTTACTTACAGCCGGAGCCAAGGGCAACGACTCGCGTTGGTTCAATAGTTGTTCGAGACGAACTACTGGTTCCTACTCGTCCACCGACAATATCACCATACGCGGCTTTGCCTACGACGGAAAGACCGTCGTCAATGTGTGGCAAGACCCCAAGAACATCTTGTATCCATTTTTCAAGGATTTACCTTACAAATACGCCGACTACGTTGATGCTAAAGATTTGGGAAACTATAGTTACACCTACGCGATGAGTGGCGGGCTGGCTACTTTTTACCAGAAGTGCTGGGCATCTACCGAAGTGTCTGCTACTACAACTTTACTAGCAGATGAGCGTCAACACTGGGGACACGGCAGAGATAGAGGAGATCTCTACCCGATAATTGAGCCAGGAACGTCGTATGATGAGAAGGTGAAGCGCTGGAATATTGCACTTTATGAAGCTGCTCGCATTGTTGGATATGAGGAAAAAGCGGCCAAGGACCAGATGGAGATGGTAATGTGCCAATACCAAGAAGACTGTCTTGGTGGCGTTGTCGACTATACGGATCTCTTCCGAGCCAACTTTGGTGTTGAAGGTCATCCACGTTGCTATACTATACTGCAATACTTAGACTCGGGCGATCGGGTCATCGGCATCCCGCAGTGGAAAGCGATTACGAACCGGTTTCTGCCGTGCTCAGCGTACAAGAAGAAGGACAGTCCCGTGTCGGATTTCGCAAAGGCGGTCAGCGAATTGAAGAAAGGCTTGCAAGGAGGCAAGAGTTCGGACGACTACGTCTCGGCTACATACTTTTGAGTAGTGCATGAACTGAAGTTGGAAGGTAGCGAATATTTTTTGCAAATCACCTTACCAAAATTGTGTGTTTGCGTTCGATTTGGCTAAACACAAACAAAGGCTCACGCAAACCGATGGGAGTTGGGGAGTGGGCAGGTAAAAGCAACAAATGGAGGTTGGAATATCGCTACACAGACTTTCGTAGCAGGCAATCGAAGCGCTTGTGAACCACTTGCCAGACTAAAGACACACTGGTGGGTTGATTGCGGTGAGAAAGAATGGCGTCGATATTCAATCCGCGACTACGGGTGCTGCCTATTAGAGGTTCAATCGCATCTATTCGAGTTACCAGACCAGTTCGTCACTCGTGTGCATTGTCCAGGTAAAAAGAACCCCGTTATTTGTTCGGGAACCTATGCTAATGCGAATGCTGCTTCGTATGTGACAGCGGTGCGTGTCGGGGAGTGATCTTATCCACTTTCGTCTTCTTCCGACAACTGCAAATGGTTGTCGGTAAGATAAGCGTTTAATTTCAATTGTTACGTTTTCACTCGTATTATCACGGCACGTTATCTCGCGCAATTTCTATCGCCTTCGAATTAAGTATTGCACTACACGAAGTTGTGGTGTTGGCCCTTCAGCTTCGACTCCGAAATGTCAATCTGCTTCACATCGACCGGTTGTAGTTTGAAAACGTAGATGATGTTTCGAATAGGCTGGAGAAGACGAAGTTTGATGTTCATCTCGAGCTGAAACTCGTCTAGACCAGATTGCGCTGCGATTCTTGTGTTTCGTTAGGCGAACTGTCCAGGCGCTGCTGAAAGAACTATCAATTAAGACGTGAAAATAGGTTAAATTACCTTTGCATCTCTCTCTGGAGGGCGCGAATTAATCGTACCAAAACGTAGTCTGCTGCTGAGACATCCACAAATATGTTTGCCTCAGTCTTCCCCATAAAAAATGAATATCATTAGCGTTGTTCTACGTCGTTTCAATTAAATGTTCGAACAGTACTTGAATTAGATATTTGACGTGATTTTTTAAACTAAAGCAATGACCAACTTAAAATGAAATGAGATTTGTAAAATACCACGTAATTTCCATCTGTGACTCCTACATCTTCCACACATACTGAGGAATCTTCGCCAGCATCGTTTCCACAGACTCCTGGTGCTCATCAAATCCCTTGAGGATCATTGAGTACTGATTCAGTGCTCCAGCACTGAAGAAGCTCCGCTGTTGTGCACTTGGTCCATCGACGGCTGTGCGTAAATCCTTTACAGTCTCCACGTCAATTGTCTTCAACTGATTTGTCTCCATCCGCCCAACACCTGGGATGATATCCACCGACTGAGCATTTGACAGTGAGTCCCATTGAATCAATTGTTTGTGCTCCCGCTTGTATTCATCAGACGTCGGTACGACAAATATTAGCCGAACACTCCTCGGACTCTTCAGCGCTTTCTCCAGTAACTCGAGCTTGTCAAGGATGATCACTATGGCTTGTCCGCTAACAGGATGCATTGAAACGTCTTTCGTATGGAACACGAGAAGTCGTTTCTTCCACACGAGTTTTCCTTTTGGGTAATAAAAGGAATCAATTGAGTCATCTCTAAAACCGAGAGAGATGTGGAATGGTCTTGTTTGTAGTGCAGCAGTCGAAAGACTCCCCGGATCAAAAAAGTCAAACTCCTGACTTTCTTGGCATCGAAAGGTTTTTGACTGTCCATCAGCGAGAGAAATGGTGTGGATTTTACCGCCTCGCTTTAAGGAATCGTAAGTCTTCAATCCAAATTGAATATCACGATCTGTGACTGGTCCCGGATTAGTTGTCGATATAGGCGATTGTGCTCTTCGAACCTGAGGATTTCGATTTTCTCCTGCACCCGAAGTCGTACAAAGTCGGAAACAATTTTAGCTTTAGACAGCCAAGCTTTATCCTGAACTGGACCGTAATGACACAAGCGGAGATTCATACTGCTTCCTTCTCCCTCTTTCACCAATCGTCGAAGCTCAGGTAGTGAATCCATGCTCTTAATTGTCTGCACGAGTGTTTCCAACTGTTTCTCCACAAAATACCTATCCAGTTCAAGACATTCTCGATCCACGTGACCAAAATTGTAAATGCGATCTTCAATAACAGATCGAGTTATCACAGCGTCGATCCCAAGAGATGTGGCGGCGACACACACCTCGTCTACTTTCCGTAGTGGCATGTATAACCTCGTGAAAAATGCATCTTTTTCATGATTGTCGTGCCATCTTTTATTTGGGTTTGTAAAGCATACCAACTTATCAGGGTACGGAGGAGCCACGCACTCATATAGATGAAGACTTCAGGCCCAACGGTTGCTGACAGCCACTCCAGAAATGCGTACGGAATGAGTTCCGAGAAATTCGCAATCTTTTTGCCGTCTTTGAACGCTACGACATTCTTCAGCTCCGAGTCGTTAGAGAAAGATGCTGTGATGATGGCGAAACCTCGGTAGTTCTTGTCTCGCTGAAATCGATTGAAGAAATATCCATAGAACATGGATTTTCCAATTCTTGTGCCCTGAGATTAATGATCACAATATAGTAGCTGACAAACTCAGCCTTACCTGGCGACCCAGTGACAGTGACGCAGCGTTTGTCCCGCGTGAATAGATCGTGAAGAGCCAGGTCATAGTATCTTGAGTAGCACTCACGCACGTAAACTGCGTTGGCAGCTCGGCAGGAAACTCCTCTTGTCTGCTCGGACGCTTGATCCTCTACTTCGGGAGGGCTAAGATCATCAGTGACAACCTCGCAAGCCTTTTCGCCGAACTCCATTGTTTTCTTGCTCGATGATCTGAAAAGTGATATTTCATATCGAATGTTGATATAGAAACAGTAAATATTCGCAATAAGTTTTTAAAACTAGAATTTAACCTATTAATTGACAAAGAACAACGATTTATCGGTTCTCGTCTTCAGAATTTTGATTGACAGTTTGACACTCTTTAAGAGAGATTCCCACTTGATGGAGCCAGGATACGATGAAAAGATGGTGGAGGCCGCCGCACATACAGAATAATTTACGCAAGAGCTGCCCACGCAACACCGCGACATGCCGAAGAGGTTTCACGTGCGCAACTGTCATTCCACATACTATCAGCTGATTCTACGCGACCTCTTCACCGAGAACAATAGCTGCGTCACTGTCACTAGGACACCAGGTAAGGCATGTTGGCTCGTCAGGAGTGGCGCAGGACCTTAAACTCACATCAGATATTTGTTGCGCTTGATTTGCAGATAATGACAAGTCTATCTTGTCTTCGCCACACCCTGAAAAAATGGAATGCTTCACAAGTCCTAATGAAGATCGGTTCGACACACGTAAGTATGGCGAGTATCACACAACGCTACATATGCCCCCGTGGGACGAGGAGGAACCATTTGCCGCTGCCAGATCCCTCAGCACCGACTCCGTGATTACTTGACCTCTGGTTGAAGCGCGCATTCGTTTATTTGGCCATGTAGCGCGAGAGATAAACCCTAAATTTCCAGGAGCTCAGGTTTTAGAAGAAAAGAGAACTCTACGAGCACCAACAAAAGAATCAAGCATTTCTCACAGATTGTTTTGATTTCCGGTGCGTGGACGGCGAAATATCTGGAGCTCGTCTCGACGCACCAACATTTTAGGGGCCAAACTTTGCGCGATCTGGGGTAGTCTAAACGCATTTTGGATGAAGAAACAAAAGAGCGTGCGATTGTTGCAAAGGAGCTGGGCGAAGTCAAGGAGAAACTCGCTGAAGAAGATACGACGATTACCCATGAGAAAGATTCAAATAGTATTGTGCATTTAAGTGCAGCCCTAGCGAATGTGCCGCAGCTGAACAGCGAGGGAAAACTGAAATGAATATCAAGACAGGGTCCGACCGTGAGACGTCGAGTGAGTACGCCTCCTCATTTCTGGGTTGTATACCGTCCATGCAACTATCTAGCTGATGTCTGAAAAGACTCAAAAGACATCGAGATGATGAATGAATAATACTTTCAAAATCAGACGTCTTCATGTCCCGTGAGGAATAATACCAGCGTTGCAATCGCCTTGACCACGCACTTCGACAAGACGAATTGTCGCCACCGGATTCCGATGATAGTCGGCGCTTACCCCCCCCCCACGCGTTTAAGTTGGGAAGTGAGCGGTATCTAATCTGTGTCGAAATCATTGATATTTAATTCTTGACTTTCCGAAATACAATATTCTGTTAATATTTCTATTTCGCTCCCAGAGTGCTAGAGTCTCGCAGTCTCCCATAAAGTGACTATGTCAATCAATGGAGAACTTCGCTTCGCAAGTACTTATATTGAAAGCATCGGTGTCGCATCCATTTGGTCTGAGAACCGCTTGAGAAAGAAGCAGTGGAACGCAGTAGAACCGACGTTCGACGTAAATAGATCTTACTATCAACTGTCACTGGCAAACCGGATTTCTGAACAAGGAAGAATATATCACCACAGCTAACGTTGTGGGGAATGTGTCTGCAACCTGTAATTACCAGGATTTCATTTTGTTAAATACGATCTATATTCGTATCTCTTGAAGTTTCTACTAAACTTTTTTGTTTTGATCATTACCAGACCATATAACCTTAGCTCTGAAATAAACTCCAGAGAATTGCCACGGTTGGACTGGCCTGA